CTCTGCCTCTCTCTCACTTTCTTATATTATGAACCAAATGTAAGTAACGCTACGAAAAAAGATTAATATAGATGATATTCAATCAAGAGAAATGAAATGCTAGTAAAAAGAAAAATAAATTGTATATATATTTTGACCTTTACGGAAAAGAGATGTCTAGTATTTTTTTTGTTTTTTTGTCAAAAATTAATAATAATTCAGAAACGTGGGTGGGAGGAACTCTGGAAATTTATAATTTTCAAGTAATAAATAAGTGTTCTTTTAGATATACTAGGACTCGAACCCCCGCGAAATCGCAGAGGCAAAAGAACCTCTCAATTAAACATTTTAATTTTTGCGAATAAAACCAAAGATACAATTTATTTTCAAAATACATACGAATGTACAATCATCTTTAATAAATTTTAAAACATGATTATGAGAAATTTCAAAAAATGCCACTTTTCAAGTGCCACTTTACAAAAATGCCACACTTTTAAAATCTTTACAAAAATACCACTTTTTCAAAATTATTTTTTCTTTATATTATTTATGTTTGAGTTAATTATGTTCATTAGGCTTTAGTTATGAGGGTTTAGGAGGGTTTAGAGGTCAAAACATTTTTTAGTGATTAAAATTTTAAGATATAGGATTTAAAATCTATAATTAGTGGCATTTTTGCAAATGAACATTCTTATGTGGCATTTTGGTAAATGTTATAAGAAGTGGTATTTTTGCAATTTCTCAAGTCGAGGCAATATAAACCGAACTTATGAAAACTATATAATAAAAAATTAAACATAATTATATATGAAGTCATATNAAAACAAACCAATCAAAATTAGTAATATATTTNAAAGAAAACATAAAATACTTTGAAACAGAAGGAAAATAACAAGAAAACGTGACGAAGAAAAACAATGATTTAATAACACAATTCCAATATCAGTAATAATCATAAAATATTTTTTTCAAAAATAACGTGTCCTAGTGATTTAATAATAACCATAAAGCGGATTTCTCGATATACTGATGACTATAAAATGGTCCTAAAACTGTTTTCTCAAAAAATACAACCTATAATAGAGAAAATAAAAGATGTGACGCTGTAATATACGGATAATTATAAACAGATTGTTTTTCGAAAAACATGATCCTAAGAAATAACTATAAAATTGTTTTGATAACGTTATAAAACAAAAAAGTTGACCTAAAATCTTTAGTTGAGAAATAAATGATATTTTTGTTAAAATTCAAATACAAGCTAAACTATACATAGTCATCCATAATGAATTATGTTTGATTTTATCTACGATTATTCACAAATATAAATTATTTGAAAGTGATTTGTGAGAGTTTGTTTAATATTAGAAACTAGAACACAATTAAAAATCTTTTAACTATAATTAACGTTTTTAAAATTTGTTTTATATAGGAAAAACTGAATAAAATTAATCCGCTTACAGAAAGTCATTTAGTTTATATTTATCTATATATAGTAGTATAAAGTAGTTATTCTAATAAAAAAGTGTCATTTGAAGAGTTGTAACTTTTTAATTAGTAGGTAGTTATTTTTATATTAATGAAAAGTCACCATTTAAAAAGTTGTAACTTTTTAATTAGTAGTCATGTGATTGT